CGTTGGAAGCACTGTCTGACGCGTCTGCCTCCGCGACCCGAAAAGAGAAGCGGCGATGGAAGATGAAGATGATGTTTACAGAAACTCCGCCTTGCCAGACCCAAGCCTGATTGAGAAAGGTGTTGGAGACCGGGGCGAAATCTCCGCAAAAGTTCGTCACCTGCTATTCATGGTATTGACGTCATCGAAAATTAGACCGACTAGGTCGCCGCCGCGGTTACCAAGGATCGCGAAAGCTGTGCAGGGGACCGATCCAGACTGCGAAAAGTCGGTCATCAGAACCTGATCATCGCCTACCGCCAAATGACAGTGCAGTAGCACAACAATGGCTGAGGAAGATACCACTCAGCAACAGGGTCGGCACCCGTTTTTAACGGAGGAGGCAGACAGAGCGATGCCATTATAGCACGTCAAAGAAGGCTCCATGAGAACGACACAGTCAGTAGGTGCTAACAGTCGGAAATTCGAATATTCTCACTCAGAGGGAAAGAGCAAGAATTAGTTAATGAGGCCACAAAGAACCAATTCACTCATTATTGGACTCCGTCAAAGAAGCGCCAATGCTCTGGAATCCTGAACCTCTGTGAGTGGAAGCTATTCCATTCAGGTGTCGATATCACGACACGCGTTCAGGGTAGTATTGGTTTATAGCAGAACTCAACCACGCTGATAGAATTATTTATATGCACCCTGTCAGCGGAAGGGTGGCAATCCTCCGACTAAAGCTACAATAGGCAAAAGCACTGACCTTGTTACAGGTCTATCTCCCCAAGTTAGAAGAGGAATATGATTACGGAGTCCCTCATATTCACAGGCGATTATAATGCACGTTGGAGTAGACGCTTAAAAGTGGAATGGCGTGATAGGAAAAAACGGACCTAACGACCTCAACAATAACGGCATGACGTTGTTGCGGTTTTGTGCAAACAAGGGACTTCCATTATGAACACCTTCTTCAAGCATTGAACAGTGCATCAGCACACCTGGTACCGGGAAGCTTGTGCACAGAAGTCGATGATCGATTTGATAATTGTATCATCTGACTTAAGACACTAGGTAATGGATGTTCGCGTTAAGTGAGGCGCAAAGCTATCAACCGACCGCCACCTTGTTGTTGGCACGCTGCGCTGTAAGAAATGGAGTACAATACGAAGATCTGGTGACAGAAGCAACCGGAGAATCAAATGGGAAACATTATCTTCGGTGGACACGAGAGCGAAATTTGCAAACAACATCGCACGATGGTTTAAACAGATCCCAGTGATGACAACTGATGTTGAAACCGAGTGGCAGCTATTTAAGAGCGGCCTACTCGAGGCTGCCTCTGAATGCTGCGAATTTAAACGGGTTAGCCTGCCTTCTGGAGGTCAGAAAAGATATTCCTAGTGGACACGAGAAGTACAGCAGCGTTCATCAAATGACTTGGAAACAAAGAGCGTTCTACTCGCGTGCGATATGCCGAGGCATGCAAGGCGGCAGCGAAAGCGGTGGCGAAAACCAAAGCTGATTCCTGGGAGAACTTCGGTGAGGTGTTGGAGTCGAATTTCGACACGACAATCAAAGTATTCTGGCAGACCATCCGCCGGCTCTGAGGTGAAAAGAAGGGCAGTCTCAGAGTCTTGAGGGACAGATCTGGACACCCTCTTACCAAGGATGATGAGATCCTTCGGCAACGGAGAGCACTTTGAGGAACTCCTCAACCAGACGCAACAGCAGGAAGACTCGCCTGTAGAGCTGTAGGGAGCGAATATTACTATCTCCGTAGATGAAATTACACAAGCTTTGAAAAACTTGAAAAATGGAAAGGCTGCTTGAATTGATGAAATCCGCCGAGATGCTTAAGGCATTAGGCAAACAAGGCATGTGCTGGATTACAAGTGTGTGACAAACTGCGATGACTACGGTAAAGACACCAGCAAACTGGGGAATTGGAGTTATTGTATCCCTATTCAATAAGGGAGACCTCAAAGAGTGCTCTCGAATCATAGGGACATGACGTTATTGAGTCTCCCAGATAAAGTCTACGTAAAAGTCCTGGAAAGGAGGTGCCGCGGAATAACTGACCTTAAGATACAAGAACAGCAGCGTGGTTTGAGGACCGGTCGAAACATCTCTGGCCATATATTTGCCCTGCATCAGATTGTTGAGAAGTCATGGGAATACGCTCGTCAGGTGTAAATGTGCCGTGTAGACCCAGAAAAAGCCAATGACCGGATCCCGCGATGCTGTCTGTAGGCATACCAGGGGAAATATAGTACCAATGGCCAGTTGCTACGGGACATTCAATCACTATATTTTGAAAGCAGGTGCTGCGTCAGAGTAAATGGCATTAAGTCGAAGCCTTTCAGCGTTGGCACTGCTCTTCACCAAGCCTGCGTTCTGTCTCCTCTCCTGTTTTTGCTCTACATGGACAGAGTACTCAGGAGCAGCCAAGGAGACGAATGTATCAGCGTAGCAGATGTAGAGACGAGAAGGTTGCTGTTTGCAGAAGGCCTTGTTTTATTGGCATCTTCAGAAACTAGATACAGCACTCCCCAGAATAGCTCGCAGCCGAGTGCGATGTGGTCCGCATTCGTGTGTACATGGCTAAAATGAAAACACTTGTGATTTCTCGTTCTCCTGTCCGTTGCTCTCTTCAGATTAACGGAGAGGCAGTGCAGCAGGTGGAGAAGTTCAAGTACCTCGGAGTTGTATTTGCTGGTGATGGAAAATTTGAGGAAGAGATCGAGCGGCGAATTAGGGTAGCCAGTGGCGCTCTGCGTGAACTAGCCCGACCCACTGTGACTAAAGCAGAACTCAGTC